GAAAGAGTTCCTTAAATAAAAATCAATAAGAACATTTCTATGTAAACTAAAAACTTTCCAGCTTACTTCTTCCCCTCCGATTATGCTCACTATAGAAAATTTGATAAACAGAGAAATTATAAAAAGCAGAAAATAAAATCTCATGTTATCTAACCACACAACATCAATCTGTTAGTATTTTCATGTTTTCTTTCAGTTCTTTCCTATGCCTATGACGAACTTTATGTGCATCTGTATTCTAACCTTTTTGTTAAGGTTATGGTGGTATGTGAATTGCATATCATTACAAGCTCTTCTTACAAAATTTTAATGGTTGTAAGAAATTCCACCGTAAGTATGCTCTGAGAATTATTTTTATTGATGATATCTTGCCCTCATTTGTTATTCTTCAGATGCTATAAGTACAAAGCAAGGCCTTACACAAACCTGTATCTGTTGACAGAATTTATAGAAAAACTGACATAAGATCCCACAACAGTTCCTTGTCATTTAACACAGCAGTAAGAGCTGTGACCTAGGCAGTGCCTCAAGGGTGTTGAGACTAATCCTCCATGTACTTACTGCAAATCTGCTGAGGATGTAAGCTCCAGCTCCAACTCCAACCCCAATGATGCTTTTCAGACTGTGAATGGGACACACCAACATTCATAGGGTTAACTCATTTGGAGGTAGGATGGCATAATGAAAAGAATGCACTTGGGTTCAAATCTGGCTCTGATGCTTACTGGATGTAGAATTTGGTCAGGTTTCTTTAACTTCCTGAGCCTGGGTTCCCTACCTATAAAACAAGAGTATGACCACCTACTTCTAAGTTGATTTTAAGGATTAAATGAAATATGACTAAAACCTGGGAGTCATCCTTGACAGCTCACTCTCCTAATACCTCCATATCCAACCCATCAGCAAATCTACCTTCAAAGTATTTCCATCTGCCTTCTCCTACTCCATTCCATCCCCTGGGCAGTATCCAGTACCAAGCTATCTTACTTGCCTGATTGTTGTAACAGTTTAACCGGTCCCTTGCTTTTTCTCTTTTACCCCTCTCTAAACCATTCTCTCCACAGCTGGAGTAATTTCTTTTTAAAAATGTAAATTGCTTTACTGATGTGCAATTTACATATCTAGAGTGATCATTTTAAAAGACTAAATTGGATAGCACTTAAAACCCTTCGGTGTTTTTTGTCTTTTGAATAAAATCCCAAATTCTTACCTGATCTGTGAGAGCTGTGCAATCTGGTCCTTGTCTATTTCTCAGATTTCACCCTGTGCCTTTCTCCCACTTGCTCACTTGGCTCAGGCCTTTTGGACATATTCCTTCTGTCTGGAATCCTCTTGTCCTGGCTCTCTGTTTAGGTAACTCCTTTTTGTCCTCCAGGTCTCAATCTAAAGGACTCCTTCTTAGAGAGGCAATCCTCAATTAGCCTCAACTGTGTACACCCTGCCCTTATCTATCACAACATTCCCACTGACTTCTTCTATAGTACGTAAGTTGTGACTATTTGTTTGCTTACTTGTTGTCAATTATTTCCCACACCAAAATGTAAGCTCCACACTCCACGAGGGTAGTGACGATACTGTTTTGGTCATCGTCATATCCCCCAGATCAGACACATAGTAGAAAGCGCGAAAAAACAAAAAACAAAAAGCACGCGAAAGAACTGCAGAATGAACTTACTTTAAGTGGGTGAGAACAGGAGGCAGCATTTCGGCCAGCTCATCCATTGTCGGATACTGGTACCTGAAATCCAGAAGGATACCTCCTTACATACATTAGAATGTACTCACAGTTCCCAATCACTAGAACAGCTAGAAAAGTACAGGGTTCTTAGATAAAAGCATTCCCTTTACCAAAGGCTCAAAGGAGGTGACGTAGTACCCGGAAATGATTGTGGCATGTTGCGTGACTCTCTACAACTGCCACACTAAGAGGAAAGTAAAAAACAAACAAAAAAACTCCTACGTGTTTCTATAACCTGAAGAGCGACCTCTGGGACGAGAGGAAGCCGTTTGAAAAGAACAGGTAATACGGTTCTCTCCAGGGTATTTCCAAACCCCTAATAACCACTTCATTTGGGGTTCAGGCTCAGTAAACTTCTAGCAGTAAGAGTCAACCTACTGCTCTTGGTCTGCTGCTTAGGTTTAGGCAGCTAATTGCAAAAGTAAACAAAGCTTTACTGGGCCTAGGCACACAGTCGCAAATCCTGGGCTGCTCATCATAGAGGCTGATTTGTTTTACTTAGGCCTAGAATAACCCAGTTACTTTATTATTTGCTTTTGAATTTGGTTCATGATCTAAGCCACTGGATCCTAAGATGGTCAGGCAAGCCCGAAACTGACTCAGACCAAGAATCCAAGAAAAGTAGGAAGTGTCCATAGAAATTACAGCATCAAAGATGGAAGGGATCTTCAGACAACCCCCTACGTATGGGGCAGGATCTGCTCTACGTTTGACAGGGAAGTCGGCCTGCCTCTGCTTGAAACACTTCAAGCACTGGAGTGCTCTTGAGCCATTTGTACGTAAAATAGACAAAAGGAACTGGATCTAAATCTTGTTGGATATAAACTGGTCACCGGCCAATTTGTGTTTAAGAGACAGAATAGCTTGGACATAGTCAATAACATAGATTCTGGAGCCAGACTGCCTGGGTTAAAATCCCAGCTCTAATCCTTATTTGTTATGTAAGCCTGGCCAAGGTACTTAATATCTCTGGGCCTTAATATCCTCCCCTGTACAATGGGAATAACAGTAAACCTATCCCATAGGGTTGTAAGGATTAAATGAGTTAATAAATGTAAAGTATGCAATGCAGCGTCAAGAATACTGTTTGAGTACTAGGTAAGTGTTAGCTATGATTCTAACACTGCAATGGTCCATTTCACAGCAGTCACTGGCAAAGGCAGCTCTGGAGATGAGTAAAGAGAGAGGGGAAGAATTAGCATTCCACAGCTTGTGCTTTCATTCCTCCTCCAAGGTCTCCTCAATAATTATGCTGTCCAGGGAAGAGTCAGGGAGACTGTGGCTCCACCATGCAAAGCAGGCTTAGGATGAGGCTGAGAGCTCCATGTCCATGTCCAGTTAAATGCACCTCTGGCTGACAGGGCAGCTCCTCCAAATAAATGGTTATACTGATATTCAAATTCCTGTCACCAGATTGAAGGTAAGGGTGGGGAAGTGCTCCCAGGAAGCTCAGAGGGATCTGAGTTTGGGGCTAGGTAGCTGGGAGTTTCAGGGAGGGACACAAAAACGACAGATTTAAAATAGATGAGGAAGGAGACAGTTAAAAGACAGTGAGAAGTGGGTGTTCCAGACACTAATGCCTTGTGACTGGCTCCCATTCATGGAGGGCCATTCCTGGATATCGGAAAAAATGCAGTCTTCGTGAATAGACTGTACATAACAGTTCTCTCACAACAAGGAGAGAAAATGTGCAGATGGTCGGTTGACAAGTATAACCTGTAGGCTGTGCTAAAACCAGCTTGGAGGGAAGCACACGGCCACTGCTCCCGCTGGAGCTTAGCCGTTTGCTCTCTGAGTGCGTGTCTTCCAGAAGGTCTTGCTTGTGGTCTTACCCAGCTGGGAAAGAGGGTGCACCTTCCTGCTGGCCTGGGGCATCAACATGACAGACAGCAAAGTGCTGGGTGATCTCCTGCATATCCTCAAAGTTAAAGAATGCATTGAAACAGGATTTATCTGCAAGAGCAAAACACTCATAAGTCACAAACTCTCCATTTCTCCCCAGTTTTCCTCCACTCAATCAATTCCATATCATCGTCCTCTTTCACCCCCTTTAAATCACTGTTTCACTGAAGTGAAGTGTCTGAACAATCTGTCTGATTCAAGCTGCCCTAAAGGCTGACTACCAGACATCTCAACAACTTGAAAAGGATAACTAATCCTCAATTCTACAGAATGTCTACAAAGAGGAAACCAATCCTGGTGTTTCACAAGACAATCTTACACCCATAATACTGTCATTTTTCATGCATCTTATTCCCCTACCTAACAGAGAGATACTGACCGTATCCCAAGAACCCGGCTAAAGCGAGTATCTTAGGCTGCTTACATTCACCATGTGGAAGACTGTATCTCTTGGCAAAATTGCTGGGGTGCAGGGAGGGGTTTCTTGCTTCAATTTCTACCCTGTTGGTGGAACTGCTTAAATTCCTTCTCATGCTAAAGAGGCAACAAAAGCTCCAGCACTAGACTGTAACTTCAAATGCAGGCCACCTCTGAAAGCCAGAGGAGCGTGAAAGAAAACACATGTACGTAGACTCTGTATGCCTGGGGCTAGGGCCAGAATCTTATATTACCATCTAGAAAAGTCCATTTAAAGTCACTCATATGCTAACACATATATATGGAATCTAAAAAAAAAAAATTGTTATGAAGAACCTAGGGGCAGGACGGGAATAAAGACGCAGACCTACTAGAGAATGGACTTGAGGACGTAGGGAGGGGGAAGGGTAAGCTGGGACAACGTGAGAGAGTGGCATGGACATATATACACTACCAAATGTAAAATCGATGGCTAGTGGGAAGCAGCCGCATAGCACAGGGAGATCAGCTCGGTGCTTTGTGACCACCTAGAGGGGTGGGATAGGGAGGGTGGGAGGGAGGGAGATGCAAGAGGGAAGAGATATGGGGATATATGTATACGTCTAGCTGATTCACTTTGTTATAAAACAGAAACTAACACACCATTGTAAAGCAATTATACTCCAATAAAGATGTTACAAAAATAATTAATTAATTAATTAAAGTCACTCATGATGGCTATAATAAGAATACTTTTACTAATTTATTGAAGAGCTCACAACAAAGTTAAGTTCAAGTTCTGAATTTTCTAACCTGAAATATGAAAAAAACCTAAGTACAGATTGTTTTTTAAAAAAAAACTGATTCCAGTTCTACTTTCTTAACCAGTTCATAATACAATCTTCAGTCCTTTAGCAGGTATGACATAAAGTGAGATATAATCCCAGTATCCCCCAAAACGCATTCAACTGCATACTTCCCAGGAACTTTAATTCTGCCATTAACATGTAGCAATGAGGAGGGAAGGTTAAGGCAGAGAGGAGAAAACCTATGGTTTATCAGAATACTGGGGTTTCTTGTGTGTTTTTAAAAAATATACAAAGATTATGTATTATAATAAAATAGGGAAGGTATAAAATCAAATACATACGATTGAGGCCAATGTCATGGTATGTCAGAATAACTGGTCTGTTTCCCTTCGGTAGGCCTCTTATAGTGACGTGGACCATACCGTGAGTTGTTTCTATATCATGTTCCTGTAACAAGAGAACATCAAGGTCTCAGCAAGGGCAGAGTAGACTTCCCAGGTTACTGAAGTTTCACAATACCCAGTTCACTGCTGTTTCCCACTAGCTGGGGCAGGACACATCGCTGAATTATAAGCCAACTAGAGGGATGTTATATCATACAGAATAGTCCTACTTTTTAATTCCTTCCAGATAAACAAACAAACTAAGGAAAAATACACCTTATCTACAAAGCTCACTTTCTTAAGTGGGGGAAGCCAGGGATCTGCTGAGAATATATTCGCAACTAGCTATGGCAAGGAGATCAGCAAGTTGAGTGAGGAGCCAGGTAAGACCTGGGGAAAGGAAAGTTAAGGAAGCAGAAGATGTGAAGAAGCTGCTGGGTAAAAAGGCAGAGGCTTCAGAGCCTCTAAATGCATGTTCAACAACTGATAATTTCAATAGGACCTATGGGTGTATCTGCCTAAAATCTCTCCCCTTCCCTGGGAGCTGCCCTTCTGTGTCATCCATACAGTACGGGAGTGGCTCTTGCCGCCCTGTCTGTAGACTATAACCTTATGGCCATGGCTCACTGGAGTCACGTGGGCATTTGGTCCATGCTAGGTAAGCATCCTTCCCTGAGAATCTGTAATTGGGACTAAGAGATTCCGTCCTCAGCTTGGTTCTTCTCTTGAAAAGAGAAGTAAACTTGGGAGCTTATAGTAGGCATTTCCACCACTTTAATTCCTGGTTCCGGCTGTGTGTGCTGTTAAGTTCTGCGACATCCCTGGATTGCCTCTGGTTTAAGCTATTTGGGTGGGTTTGTTCCCTGCATCCTAAAGGGTCCTAACCAAGGCAATGAGTAAAATTTAAGATGCAGCCAGAGCAGAGCTCAGGAACTGAATAAAGCTAGAACAAGATGAAATCAGAGCTACTGGGACCAGCACTAAGAGTGGTTGGGTAGAAAAGAAAGAGACTCTAGAAAAAGTAACTGAGACTTATTCTAGTCTTCTTCAACATCTATATTTCTTAAAAATGAATTATCACACCTAGCCTAGTGAATTTTTGCTGACAAAGTCCGTACCTATCTCAGGAAGTGTTATAGTAGCTGAGACAAAATAACTCTTTCAATAAGAATCCCAACAAAGGCAAAGCACTTCCAACTTAATTTCCCATCTAATAATGAACCTCATCGGAGCCCTGGTTCCTTCTCTCATGTGGGGCACAGAACAATCTTACAATAATTGAACGTGAGTATATCTCAAATCATGGGCTGCAAGCTAGAGCAGGTATCTCTCCAGCAAACCAAACCACAAGTGACTCAATATTTCTGCTATTCTCTATTACTGCTTGCTACATCCTCTTCAAAGGCTTGAAAAGGGGGAATAAGAAATGAAGGAGAGAATCAGGCACCATGAACTGGCTATGAAATAAAGCACAGGGTTTGGATGGGAGGAATATAAAGACATAAATTCC